ATTATATATATATATATATATATATATATAAGAAATTATCTAACACACATTTTTTAGTTTAATATCAGCAAATATTTGTTAGAAATAATGTGCAATAAAATTTGAAATTACAAATATAATATTTATATTTAGGTAATATTTTAGCATTTTATCCTACGATTAGATGACATGTTATCACTAAAAAATACACTAATACATACATTTATTGACCACAATTTTTTTTTACTAGTCGTTAAATTATTATCTAACTTTTTAAATTAAAATGTGTATATTATTATACTCGTTCACCTAATTCTTTTTTGTTCTGAGCAAAATTATATAAAATATAAATATAGGTGTATATTATAATGTCGTTAATGAACTTATTATTGATAATATATTAGTGCAATCTGGGATTCTATCACTTCTATCTAAACGTCATAATTAGTGTATTAGTCATATTAAGTGAATAGATAGTAATATTTCATTAAATATTTATCAGATGGTGGTTTATAATTACCCGTCGTTTAATTTTATAATCTTAACTTTTCTTATCTATATAGTTATTGATAGAAAACGATGTATTTTTTTTTTATCAATTAACGAGTTGTATATTAATTCATTTTCTTAATGAGTGTCTCTAAACTGTAATACGATTTTAATTATCTGATGTATAATAATAGTCGCGTTACTATTAGTAGTAAAACATTACATGAGGGATCTACCAATAACTACAAGTTTAGGGGAAAATGTATGCTGATACGCATAAAATGTATTTAAAAAAAATAAAATTTGTATAAAAATAACTAATTTATATTTAACTTATTGTTATAAAAAAATAGTGACTTTATATAAAGGTTTGTTAATAAAGAAGAAAGATCAAATCTAAGTGAACCCTCCTATAACTTTTGATTCGATAAATATTATGTCGTAATTTTTAAAAATAATTTGTGCGTTCTTAGGAGTTATATTTTTTATTAATATAATAATTTAATAAAAAAAAAATTTATTTCTCCATAATTCAAAAATAGCTAATTTGTAAGCACTTTGTTTATAAAAATATAACTAATGAACTGTAAGCATTTGCATACATAGAACGAGTATGTAGCGCAGGTGGGGGGTACAGCTCTTATTGATGTATATTTATAACGTATTTTTCACCCAAGTTACGTACCCACTGTTTCTATTAAAATACTTGTAACTCAATAATTACTTGTTCTAAAATTATAGTTTTATACCAGTAAACGTTTTACATTAATAATAAATAAATAATAAAAACTGTGACAAAATGTTTGAATATGTCATAAAACAGGTATTCACAACTTCTATTGTGTATTGACAATAAAAAAAAATGGCTAATTATCCTCCCGACTCCCCTGAATAAAGTACACAAATAATATTGTTTAAACCTTATATACTTGTAAAATAATAAAAATATTTTTTTTGCAGGTGTGTTGGAAATGAGCGCTGCAACAGAAAGCGGTATCCGGTTAAGCGGGCACACCCTAGACAAAGCAACGAAGGCGAAAGTAACACTTGAAAACTATTATAGTAATCTGATAGCTCAGCATATCGAACGTAAACAAAGGTAGTACACTATATTAATAATTATATTAAAGCTTTTGTTAAATTTATAAAATTTTAATTTAGTAATATGTAATCTGAATTCTAATTCTAGCAATGTTAGTGTATGATGACACAAAACAATTCATCCAGTTTTTCTAACTTGACTTCTAACGATATTTCTAATTCTGTTTCCTTTTTAAATAAGCTTTTGAGATTTGAAACATATATTAGGCCTAGTAGCTTAGAACATCATAAAATGTTTAGCCCTCAATGTTATGCCATGGGAAATAATGGGAGATTTTCAATTTACTGCTGGCTGATTTACTCAGAGGCATCAAAATTTTAAAATACTTCTTATATAGGAAAAAATATGAATTTTGACATACAAGTAGATCTAGTGTAAGTAAAGAGGAAAATTTGAAAATTATTATTTTCTCAAAATAAACGGTCTTACAGACAGGAGCGTCACATGAGGGTGAGCAGTTGTCCGTTCTGATTTTTTTGTGCCTCATAAAAATGATATATTTTGCCGATATAAGCTAGTAAAAATAAATAATATCTTCAACCAAACTCTAAAAAAGGGCCAAGTTGAAACTCTCCCTTCCAAAATAATAATAACTAAATTGTGGCCAAGTTTGCTCTTAAGTTCATAAACTTCAATCCTACATCTAAAAAAAATATTGCTCCTTTATTAGTATTGCTTAACACTTAATTAGATTCTTGCCAAGTACTAGTTCAGTCTTCATTTAGGAATTATGTGGAAGAGAAGAAAGAGAAAAAGAAGTACAAAGAAAAGATTAAATATTCTTATAATTTTGCGGGATATATGGAAAATGATTGTAAAATCATTTTTTATTTCTCATTAAAAATAACCATACAGGTGAAGCTAATATAAGCGTGTTAACAAATCAAGTATTAAGCAATACGAATAAAGAAGCAATGTTGCTTTTAAAAATTGAATTGAATTTATGAACTACAGATAGAAAAAATATTTGGCCATAATGTAGATATCACTATTTTGATCAGTGGAATATTTTGGATGGTACAGGTTTGAACTTAATTGATTTAATTAAAAAATTTTATTTGATCAAAAATATCTGTACCATCGTACAAAAGTTATAGTTATTCTAGTTAATTATTTGGCGTTCATTTTTTTTCAATAGTTCGAATTTGAAACACAATATTTTCATAACATATAAAAGTTCAAATTGTATTAAACTTTTAAAATTAAATTAACAAAATTTGATTAGTAAAATTCTTATTGATAAATTTTTGTGTTTTTAATAATATGAAAACTTGCCATCAAATTGTTTTTATTCTTTAGTTTAACTTAAGATAATCGTTGCTAATAATAAGTTGTGTTCTTAATAAGAAGTATAGAAGTTCTGTAATGTATTTTGGCAATACATCAAATCCTTTCTTAGTTATTTTGGCCTGTGACATTTTTACTTCCTACATAATTGACATTCGTCCATACAAATACCAGAAAGTACTTCTAAATTGCCAGTGTTAAATTAAACGCAATTAAATTTGTTTGATGCCTTAATATTATAAATGCAACAAATTCAGAATTACTTCAATAATAATTATTATGATTATAATTATTATGTTCATAGCTATTATAAAATAAGCCTTTAAAGAAAATTATATTTTGTTCATTGTAACTTAATTAAATTATATAATACTAAACATGGTTAAAAATTTAATGATAAACTTTAAAAAAGTAGGGGTTACGGGGGGAGATTTGTATAAAATGCAAATCTCAACAATCAATTATATTTTACCTTGAAAGCTCTTAGAATGAAACAAATCTATATGCAAATCTGCCCAACTGTAGGGTACATTTAAATATACACGAGAAAAAATTTAATTATTGCATTAAAATTACGAAACTATTAGTTCAAATAAAATTTTTCCCTCAAGATTATGTTAATTTAAACGAACCTAAATAATGTTTAATAATAAATATAATTTACGAATATATTTTCAAAATTATCTATGCTTTAAAATAATATCTCATTTGAATATATATACTTAGGTAGAATACTTTTTTGAATCATTATATCAAATATGAAAATTATGTTATTTATTAAAAAAAGATACATTTATCTGTCCAACAGAATCAGAGTTATGACATAGCATTTTTAAATACTCACATAATGTGTTGTACATTTTTTTCTGCAAAATGTTCTCAATTATGTTATAAATTACAAAAAACATCTTTAAAAATGTTGCTACCCAATAAAAATCTGGTATTCCAAAAAACTAATTTTTATTATTTTTTAATTAATCAACAATCAGAGATGGTTGATAACATATCAGATCATGAAAAACAGTGTAGCCGTTTATTGTTTTATTGTTTATAAGTTTCCGAATAAACTTTAAGATGTTGAAGCGAATTATAATTGTACCCGTTATTCAAATCTGCTTCAGTCAATCTATGTTATTTTAGACATCACCAAAAAATATACCACAAAAACTAATTAATTAAACTTATATTACTCTTAAAATAAATATAGTTGAACGTTTAACAATAGAATTCTAATAATTTCAAATATTAAAATAAAAAATGTATGTATCTGTAGATACCTATATTATTATAACTTATCGTTTAAATATTATCGAAGAAATTATGAAATTATCTATACACAAATTTTTTATAGAGTATAAAAATACTTATTTAAAAATGTTCTCTCATATTTAAAATATTTTTACATTAGTTATGAAAATTGGTTATCTTTACAGATTAGCTAAGTTAGAAGAAACTTTGAAAGATGAAAGCCTTTCGGAGCAACAAAAACAAGAAAAACGTCAGCAGCATGCCCAAAAAGAATCAGAATTTCTTAGGTTGAAGCGATCGAGATTAGGAGTTGAAGACTTTGAACCTTTAAAAGTCATTGGTCGAGGTGCTTTCGGAGAGGTTTGTAATAATATGTATAATTTTATAATTAATTATACAAGTTATTAGTCAATTTAAGACTCCACTGATAACAATCCCTTGATTAACGCCAGAAATTTTATAATTAAAATCGTTTTATTAGTAAACTTATGAGTTAAAGTGATCTGAATATATTTTATTGGGTTTATACACAAACCGTTGTTCTGATTACAAAAATACTAAACTTATCTAAGTCATTCTATAACATTAAATAGTCACTTAGAGTCTCAATTTTTAAATAAAGATTTACATTATTAGCGAATAATAAACACTTCGAAAATCACGAAGATCATTCATAAAAGTAACAATAAACAGAGGAGATAAATGCCTCACCTTTGTGGAACACCAGATTATACATTAATTAATAGCGTAAGGGCCTCTCCTATTTTTATTTGTTGCTTTCTGTTAGATGTAAGAACGAAGCTGTGATAACATAGTGTGTGTCGCTTTACCAAATATATCTCATTTTTCAATTAAAATAAAATGATCAACCTTATCAAAAGTCTTCTTCATATTTGTATAAATGGCCACCAGCAGATGCTATTTCTAGAATATCACCATAAAAAGCAATTAAATTTGTTGTAGTTGATTTAGATGATCGAAATCCGTACTGTGAACTACTTCAAATATTTTTTAAAATAATGGACAACTTTGATTCGATCATTTTTTCAAATAGCTTTGATAGAACGCCGCTCAGCTGAAAATAGTAACTGACACCTGACCCAGAGACGATTTAAAAATTGGGATCTTGTTTTTCATTATGAAGGGAAATTCCCGTTGACAATGATAATGTAAATAAAAAATGAACGGATTTTGTTAATAAAAAACGATAAGAAGAATAGACAATACCAAGGATACCATCTTATCAATATTTAGTATTAGTTTCCAATACTAGTAACGTATAAAAAGCTCAGTAAATGATTTATTGCAAGACGGAAGTAACACGAAGTTCCTAATTTTCATACATTTGGAGGTGATTGGATGTTTCGTATAAGAAAGGGTATATTAAACTTTTCCCTAGTTTTTTAGGGTTATAAAAACAAAATATTTTTATCTATAGGCTTATGTAACTAACCAAATTAAAAAGTAATATTTGTATAGCCATACATACATAAATGGTAGTGATATCTATAGAGGATACGTAAAATTGATCACAATTTTCAGAAATTATAACATTTTTCTTCAAAGCAATATTCATTTTGATAGAATCACGTTATTTAATAATTATTACAAAATTTAATATATAAAAGAAGATTTTTTATTAAATATTATGTCAGCAACTTATATTAAATTTCTTCAATAATTAAATAATTGTTGTTAGCTGTAGTAAATTCTTGTGTGCAATCATGGCCAACATTTTAACGCAATTTAAAGTATAGTAATAATTAAGATAAAAAATGAAGTATTTTGCAAAAAAAACTAAATGCGGACAAATGCCCAATTAGTTATTAATTTATAGTTGAAATATTAATTTTTTTTTAGGTAAGACTAGTCCAAAAGAAAGATACTGGGCATATATACGCAATGAAAATTCTTCGCAAAGCAGATATGCTCGAAAAAGAACAAGTTGCCCACGTACGTGCTGAAAGAGATGTTCTTGTAGAAGCTGATCATCAATGGGTCGTCAAAATGTATTACAGCTTTCAGGTAAATAATTACTATATATTTATCTGGAAGTATAATATATTTCCAGATATTATAAAATGTAATGTCAAAAATTTAATTATAACTTTTGAAAAATTTACCTTGTACTGAATAATTGTTTAACTATGACTCATGCAATATCTTTAAAAATATTAAACATAATATTAATTTTTCGAAAGTTAACACTATATTATATCCTATAATTAAAAAAAAATGTTCCTATCCTTTCTCTTTCTCCCTTAAAATTTTTCAACTTAAGTTTTTTAAATAGAAAAATAACACGGTATCCCATCATAATTTTATATCTTTAATAATTTTAGATTCAATCCAAATTTTGCATTACTTTTTAAATAATTTTTACAATTTTGAAGTACGATGAAAGCATAATTTTTTTATTATTTATTTCTAATAAGAAAAAATTGAAATTAAACTTTTATATTATTTATGACTTTTTAAAATGGCTATTTTTAGCTTTTTTCTTACAATAAATTTTGAAGAGTCAATAACAACTTTTAGTCTAGCATTTTTGAAGTTTTTAACTCTTTAATATAAATACTGGAGGTGAAATGTGAGCATGTTTATTTTTATCTCTTGGCATTTAAAATCATACTACTCCTCTCTCTTTATTATAAAAAAGCTCATATCTTTTTAATAACTAATCCAAATGTTTTTATAAACCAGTAATATTCTTAGATAGATTATTTTATATTTCGTAAGTTAGATAAAAATATATTTTTATCTATAAAAAACTAAAGTTGATAAAAACACTATAATTAAAAAATAGTGTTAAAATGGAATAGTGTAATGATTTAAGCAACCCTAATATTACTTTAGATATTTCATTATAATATAATGATTTTCCTTTTAAGGATCCCATAAACCTATACCTTATAATGGAGTTCCTGCCTGGCGGTGACATGATGACACTTCTTATGAAAAAAGACACTCTAAGTGAAGAATGCACTCAATTTTACATTGCTGAAACAGCATTAGCAATTGACTCAATTCATAAACTCGGATTTATACACAGGTTAAAATTTTACACCATTACATTAAATCTTGCATAATATCTCTTAAAAGTGAAACATTATTGTCTTATTATTTTAATATATAGGGATATAAAACCAGACAATCTACTTCTGGATGCCCGAGGTCATATAAAATTGTCTGACTTTGGACTTTGTACTGGTTTAAAAAAATCACACCGAACTGATTTTTACAGGGATCTTAGTCAAGCTAAACCTTCTGATTTTAGTGAGTTACATTTGATTACAGATTTATTTTAACTGTATTTTTACAATGTATACATTTTATAGCTTCGAATCCCATGGATAGTAAAAGGAGAGCAGAAAGCTGGAAAAGAAATCGTCGAGCATTAGCTTACAGTACTGTTGGTACACCTGATTACATTGCACCTGAAGTATTTTTGCAGACTGGATATGGTCCTGCATGTGATTGGTGGAGTGTTGGTGTTATAATGTATGAAATGTTAATAGGTTGGTATTTATCCTGATAAAAAAATTATATTATTTTGTTGATTGAATAATATAATTAATTTTTTTGTTACTGCATAATATTTAAACATTTTAAAATTTTTCAAGTATTTAAGATGTTAAATTGTTAAAAAATATAATATAATATATTAATTAAATTTTATTTGGCATAAGGCTATCCACCATTTTGCAGTGAAAATCCTCAAGAAACTTATCGGAAAGTAATGAATTGGCGAGAAACTTTAAGTTTTCCTGCTGAAGTACCCATTAGTGAAGAAGCCCGTGATGCTATTACTAGGTTTTGCTGTGATTCTGATAGAAGATTAGGCAATAGTGGGCGAGGAATTGATGAGCTTCGCTCAACAATAGCATTTTTCCGTGGTGTTGACTGGGAACATATCAGAGAGAGGCCAGCTGCTATACCAGTGCAAGTTAAATCCATAGATGATACCTCTAACTTTGATGACTTCCCAGATGTGAAACTTGAAATACGTAAGAATTTAGATTTTATTAATACTTTAATTTTGTATTTTATTGAATTTATATGTTAAATGAATTTGTTTTAATTTAGCATCAGCCCCACTTCCTCAGGATGGTGAAGTTATTTACAAAGACTGGGTATTTATAAACTATACTTTTAAAAGATTTGAAGGGCTCACACAGAGAGGCATAGCAACCAAAAAGTAATTTGGAGAAATCTAATAGTGCAATGTGATATTTTTTATCAAACCTCCACAGCTTTTATTTCATTTTTCATCAGCTTATTTTAATAAATAACTTTATTAGCATTATCAGGCCATGATCTCAATTAGAAAATTTTTTAATAATTATTGCTAATATTTAATTTTTTTAAAATACCATTAAGTTTTTTTGACGAATATGACTAAATAATTACTTGATAATATAAAAATAGTTAGCCACTACCTTTATTTAATATAATAAAAATTTAACAAAATATAGTAATATTATAAAATATATATTTTTTTTTACTTTAAATGTTGTTAAATAACTTTAAATCTTATTATAATGTCTAGTCATTTATATTTCTTTTCTTTGACAAATTGGAAGATAAAAAATTGTTGACTAATTTTTTTTCACATTCAAATCCATTAATTAAATAAAATTTATTTGTATAACAAAGTAAATGAACTTATAATATAATATTATGTGATCCATGCACTTAGATATGTATGCTTTGTACATATAGAATATGAGGGTAGATGATGAAAACTGATGTTTTAATATTTACTTAGTATAAAATTACCTGCAGTGAAAATGGATATATTGTGTACTCTAAGATATTTTAAAAATATATTTTGTTATTAATAAATTAGTTAGAAGGGCACAATATGGAAGAAATATAATAAATTATCTAGAGATACATTATTTTAATAGTTTCCTTGTTTCTATAGTTAGGTAGTGGTTCTAGCTGAATTTATTATTGAATAAAACACTGTAAACAATTTACCAAAATATAGGAGGTTATTAAATTTGAATTTTTTTACAATTTTTTTTAGGGGGTATACCATATACATTGTTTATTTACTTATAGAAATTAGGTTTAAAATTTGTGATATTGGAAAAATTAATTTGTTTGTTTTTAATTTGTAAATTTTTTTACATGTATGTTAACTACTCAATAGTTAACAGTTAAAATTGTACTATTTTTCTTTTTGAATATTGAATTGTTTATTTGTATTTATTATATGTTATTGGTATTAAGTTTTGATTTCAAAGTGTGTACATTTTTTTTTTTTTTTAATTAGCGTTTTAGTTGGTTTTTAATAATTGTTAAATGTTTTTTAATGATTGTAAATAACAAATTGTAAATGGAACACAACCAATAAATTTCCTGAAATATAGTCTTATTTTTTAATTTCTTTTATTAGCTTCGATGCGAAGCTGAGAAGGTATTAATTTTACTATGATGTGTTTTTTTTTTTTTTTTTTTTTTTT